CCGTCCTACCAGTACTTTGTTAAGAGACTCTTATGGTTCATCAAGTGTACGGCGGTGTGAAAATACCACAGAAAATACATACATTCAAACTCTGTTTGCCTAGTTCGTTCTATGGAATTGGCCATAATTGCATATTTCTAGCGAAAAAGTATGTAAACATGATCAGCGTATCCTAAGAATAGTCAATATTTTCCAGCAGCTTGACAGCGTTGATTTTTCGTTGAGTAGAGTTAACGAAAATATCGTCTGTCAATGATATATCCACATCCAGATATATACAACCCTTGATCCTGTTGCCTTTTTTAAGCGATTTAGGCGCGTCTGAGCCAGATCGTTCATTGAAAAATGCCGCCGATACAGAAAAGCAAATTACATAAAAAAACATCTATTCAACCTGATATCCTTCTAAATCAATTGTGGCACTCCTTAAACTCATCAAGCATTACAAGTTGAGTTAATACACACGCCTTAAACAGGAAGATGGATGCCCTCTTACGATATTGAACGGGCGAAATCTGACAATTGTTTCTGCGGGTGCTCATTTGTTGATTCATAGCATGGTGCTGCATGTCTGCTGTAGAGATTCGGATGGTTTTTTGAAAACACCAACCCCGGAAAAAAGAATTAAAGTTACACCCAGAACCGGAATTTCAGAAAAAGCAGCCAGTTGTAAATAAGTAACTACTATAACAGTTCCACGCAATTGTTAGTTTATCTAGGCAATTGCTATATATTTCAACCTTAGCGCCCTTTTACCCACGGTAGTCGTTCCTAATATGCCTTACGAAGTACTGATTTTAGGCCCGTAATGTCTTCTCAGAAAAGCCGAATGAAAAGACTCTCATGTCAGGACTGCAAAATCACATTGTCGTTCGCACTTGCCAGTGGCGTCTATGAAGAGTGCGCTTCGGTATATTTTATGCGGGTATCGTCTTCTTTGAGAAGAAACACGTGGAGCAGTCAGAATACAATCTAGAAGAGAAGATATGTAAGTGTATCGAACGGAGTCAAGCACAGGAAAGCAAAATGAGACAGGGCAGTGTGGATAAGAGCGCCTACGATGAGAAAGACACGCAACGAAGGCGGCGGAATGCAGACTTATCGCAGCCTTTCAGGCACTGGGATTAGTAAACTGATCCTCAATAGAGATAGACATCTTGCGCCCTCTTCAAGAAAGGGTAACGGATCAGGAGGACTTTTGTGTCTACACTGTTTTTGTGTATTCGTAACGATCGAAGAAGGAGCGGGGAAAGAGAAGTAAATAAAAAAAATATGAAGGAAAGCCTAAAATATGGAATTCTGGGTCGGTTTCAGACACAAAAAGAATAGCCCAAGAAAAACGAAGTTGCTCACGATGCCTCGTGGACAAAGCAGTATTGTGCAGTTAGCGAGGTCTTTCGCAGCTACCTAACGAACACGAGTGACATATTCGACTAGACCCAACAGGTCTGAATCGGCTTGCCTTTAGCAATTGATTCCCGTCAAAATAGTAACTGCAAAAAGATTTACTCTGATTAGATGCCAGGATCACAAATCATCGTCTATTTGCACCATGGTCCCCTGTGGTCGTTTTTCTTTCATGAAGAAATCAACGCACCAGACGAACGCAGGTCATAAATTCGATTGCTGTCTTCGAACATATACATAAATCATTACATCACAGCAAACCAAATAGTAATGGGCACCTTTTTCCATTAGTTTTAATCAGAACCGTGCTTAGGCTCGGCAGAAGCTATATCTAAAGACCTTCAAACGCACAATAAAAGTACTGTTTGTAATACACTGAATAAAATAGTAGAACCCGAACGTTTTTAGCGTGCAACTGCGATTGTACGTGACTATGAAATTATTTACCATTTTAGCTATCATTTTACACTTTTCTCTGTGTTCTTGTTTGTACTGTTGTTCAAACTGTGTTGCAGCTGATAACCTTGCATATGTAATAAAGCAGCCAACTGCAAAAATAGCCTGCCTCAACCCAACAGATCGTGGTAGATTTGCTCTCAGTTCTTAAGCGCATTCAAACCTAGGCCAATCTTTCCGAGGTCTCAATCAGATTGTTTACTTTTGTCCTTTCATCGAATTTTCCTGTTTTCCACAAACATGTCCTATTTCGCTAGTTCATTCTCCTTGTCCTGTCAAACAGCCACTTCGATTTTCCAGTGTACGACGCACGGGTCATGCTTCGAACCGAGACACGGTAATGACAACCTTAGCTGACGTCCTTTTTTTTACCAGGCTTTCTGCAACAACGAACGTCCAAAGAACTGCAAACGGTACCTATGAAACCCCGTGCTACTCGATAATTAACTTTATGAAATAGTCCACCAGCTTTGACAACGGCTACCCACTTTCTAAGGCCCTTCTCTCTCTTTCTTTCGGTAAGTTGAAGATCAGAATGCCGAGCCACCGCAGGATTGAGACAAACAGTCCAAGGGGCGGCCTACTAAATAGTGGCTACGCAGCCTTTCCGAAACTTAAAGTGTACACAAAAACGCCGGGCGGAATCGCCAAAAGACATAGAAGGATCTATCTAGCAACATGGAGAGAAGCACGAATTCGGGAAGACAGTGGAAGCAGAACGAAGTCACTGAAGTGAATCCATACACCCTGCGAAAGACAAAAAAAAATAGGAACGTGAGGGTGCGTAGGCTGACATAGCAACGGAAATGAAAACACTGACGGCCTGAAACGAAACGACGAACACCGCGTCGCAAAGGAAGTATCAGACAGCGGCCATGACTCAGTTAGCTTACTACGTTGAGAAAATTCCAACAGGCCAAGTCAATGAGTAGGAAGAAGAACACATTGGTTGCGTGTTGAACGGCCTCGACATACAACGAACCCAGCAGCTATGGCAGGTCCTAATGAAAGAGTACGTCAAATATCTCTTATTTTTCGTTCAGTCCTATTTTTTTCTTTCTTCTTTGTCGTCTGAGATACCTTCCTGACCCGCATCAGCATTGTTGCCGCTGCTCTCTCGATCCGCACGCTTAGTCGGCGAGTTGAACGTAGCCGCCCCTCATCAATATTTGATGACCGTTGACCGCATTGGAACGACACACGGCAGTATAGTCGTCGATATGAACACATCGTATTGAGGAACGGCGATCGAGATCACTGAAATATCTACCGTCAATTTGAGCTCGCCTTTCTCAGTTTTTTTTTTTACCTGAAATCCCTTCGGCTTCAACCCTAAAGGTTCAGGATGATCTAGCTCAAGCTAAAGTAAACGTAGGGAATGCTACAGCCACGTTCGAGAATCATAAAAGCGACGATCTCTATGCGCTGAACGTATTTTTCGATTCCCTTAAAGTCTATAGGCAACAGTTTGGATCGACGAAACCAACGCCGTGCAGCCGTACAAAGTGATGAACGAAATGCACAGTAGACATGGGGTGTTTCACCACTCTAGTACTACCGTAGTACTAGTTTTGATCTTTATTATAAGCTCGCAGTCACACAACGCTGGTACGTAAACTGTCACAATTTTACTTGATTTAGCATTCGTTTTACAAATCCATAGAACTAAGAAGCTCAATCACAGATTTACCGTATTTATTATTAAATCATTTATAGCGTAAGTGGCATAGACATTCGTCGAACGTGTTTCAAGTGTGTGGTTCATATTCTTCACCCTTTGGTTGAAATACAGATTAATTCATATTATACGATTACTGTGTGTTGGTTTATGATTACGTTATTAGAAGACCTTTTTTATTATATTACTAACATCAGATCAGAGCGATTGAAAAAAACATTAAATAGGTAAACAGTTGAGATTATTTTGTTGTTTACGTTATACATACATGAAATACCTTAATTATGCACAACGCTAACATGACGCATATGCGACAATATTTCCCTGAAATAATTAGTCAATCTTCGTTATAACGTTCAGCGACTACACGTCCCGTTTTACCACCAACATGACGCTGCTTAGTCTAGATGAGGGTATTTTTAAACCTAATACAATTGTAGATCATTTTATACGACCAGTTATTGTTCACTTATAAAGTTCGATCGTTTGTTCTTTAACAGGCGGTTCCATCAATATTGTAGCAATGCATCCATCTTCGAACGATCGATACGAGAGGTCGATGACACAAAGCGTCTCTTTACTTTTTAAAGCCCCTCGGGCGTACGATTATATCGCCTTTGGTCGCTCCCGTCATGGCGCACATGAATAGGCCTAATGCTAGTAGCTACAACATAGTTGCTTAAATAACATGCGACATCAGCTTAAGCAAACAGCATGATAAGACCTATTCGTTTCACGTTAGTAGTATCGGTCATTTCTGCGTGCAAAACACCTTACACATCGGTTTGTCTATAGAATTGAGCGTCATGCGTCATATACCCCAATAGCTTACAAAAGCGATCATTTTCCCCTTCGAATCTGCCACCCGATGCGCCCCCACGCACTATAGCAGGGAGCCTATTCAAGAGCAGAAAACCCTTTCAAGCGCAGAGCGTAATAAAACACAATTGCCACCTATTTAAAGCGAATTCCAGTACGTAACCGTTGATGGGGGCCATATATCACGTCGTTTATGAACTGCTGTGTTATGTTAGACAGCTGATGCCCCCCGCCTTTATTGGTAAAGTATCTGTGCACTGGAAAATCCTTTGTTTATTAGCGTAAATATATAGCAATTTAGTATATCAGAGAGATGATATACTTTGCCACCGTGTAAATTCTATGTATCAGAACAAAGTCTATGGCGTTATCATACGATATATGTAATTTCATGTAATAAGTAAACGTATGATCTTTATTAGTTAACGCCCCTTAATTTTGCACTAGTGAGTTTTTGTTAATTTTAACTTTACGCTTTTTAAATAAATATTTTTTTTAACGCTATTTATCTCTACTTTAAGATCAAAAGATAAAAGAGATCAACATAATCGTTATGCAACACTACGCTTTATTTCATGTTCATTTGTTTATATACTGTTTGTATTGCATTCAGCATATGTAAAAGTTTTCGATATGCACAATGTCGCTTATCTGGACGTTGTCCTGTGTCACGACAAATTTATCTCTGTCAATACCATTAATCTGTCGTACAGATGCTTAATTGTCATAATCGCTTGTTTATATATTTGTGTCATGTTTTACTTCTCTAATAGATATCGTCTGTTTATTAACTTATACTTTATAAGTTACATTCGATTTTGAGCTTTTTGTCATCGTAACAGCTGTCGTATTCTTCCTCAAAACGGTCTAAAGCGACGTCTTCAGTTCGCTTAGCGAAATTCCCAACGAACCGAACTTCTTCGTAGGACGCTGCAAGTTGCACGCAATGGTATCTGTTGGCGAAGCCAGAAAGCTTCGCTTCCATTTCCCGCTACTCATTCAAGTTAAACTTTGCTATGTAATAAGTGTGACGCCTGATAGCAGGCTGAGTAGCTTCAATTAGGCCACAGTGGTATATGGAGTTTTTTTACTATTCATAAACGCGAAGCTTCTCGGTCTCGGTTAAACGTCTGTTATCGTTGATGGTTTCCGGCTGACTGTGCTTACTCCCATATATCTTGTTTGGTGTAATCCAACGATGCAATTCAATTGCGTCCTCGGTCGACAAGGGGACGGCTCGCGTGTTGCAGCAGCGGTTTCTAACGTGACAACCATTGGGAAGGAGTTTAGAAGTACCATGGTACTCAATTGCGAGAATACCGAGGGCGCCAGCCAGTCTTCATTGAAGAGATTGAAAACTGTTGAGAACACAGCTCGTTCATGATGATACTGCTAGCCGTCTAAAATAATAAAATAAAAATAAAAAAAATAATAATAAATTTTTTTCTGTTACCCGTAACGATAGAAATATTTTCTAGTACCATTTACGTGTCAACATATGAACAAAAGTTCGCTTTTGGACGCATTTACATTTTCGCTTTATTTTTTCGAATTGTTTTTGTTATTTGAAAGACTCGGAGGTCAAGTGTGATTTCTATCAGCAGCAGCGATTATCTTTTGATCGGATTAATTACCCTATATTCCTATTAAATTATTTTTTTGTTAATGTCTAACATACGTCTAGTAAAATCAATACCTAATATGTCTAATGGTAAGTCGAAAACGATTATTACAAGCGGCTACTATTTATCTTAACATATTGAGGAGCTTAACGTGCTAAATATAAATCCTTTGTAATGCAAACGTTTCCGAGAATATAATTAATTCGTACGAAACGACAAAATCTTAATCTCTCTACTTACATCCAAACTGAATGATATGTTTGTATGCTTAATGACGTCGTCGATCCCCACTCTACCGACACGGCAAAATGTATAACGATTTAATTTTATTGTTGTTCTTTATATCCAAGTGCTCGCTTTAAATGGAAGTGTGCGCGATCCATCAGCCGCTATTTGGCAGGAATATTGGAACGTTCGGAAATTAGCCCAGACGCGTTACGTAGCTCGTTGAAGATTTCATTTGTCTGTGCTATCTGCCCCTCGCAGGCGTTACGAATCCTGACACTTTGCGCGGATTTTGTTTGATGTATTCCGCGAGCGACTAGCACCAATGGGGCGCGTGATAGAATCTGACCTGCTGATACAATGGTGATATTTCGATTAAGCTGTAGGAGTGGGCACACCGTACGCGTCCTCGATCGAGTTTCAACTTTTTAAATCCAAACAAACACTGCGGTGCGTATCTTGATCAGCTGCTTTTGAAAAAAAAGCCCGCAACAGATCTTCCCAGTTGCCCCTCAGACATCGAACGAAAGATCGTTTCTGTTATATATGACGTCTGATATGTAGGCTTTGTGCAGTGATATGACTTGCATGATCTAACATATTTCATAAGAAAGCTGTATCGCCGTTCTTTAGAGCGCGTGTATGTGTTTCTTCTCGCAAACGAAATGGCTTGCACAGTAGAGTACGCCTCGATCAGACCAGTTGGTAAACACGCCATATCTTCAAGAGCGAGTGACACACGCCAATTCTCGCAAAGAAGCATGCAAGTTATGCTATTCTATTGAGATTCTATTGCCTTTATAAAATAAATTGGTAACAAATGTTTGCACCGTCAGTGAGTTCGCGCGGCCATGATGTAGCAAGCCATGATGTCTTCACGAGATCCGAGGGCTTTACGTGGCGGTTCCTTACATCGGCTTTCACGTTGTACTACATTAGAAAAACATCCATCCCAAATAGCTGCAGACGTGAATTTGAGGAAAGCAAAGCGTTATTGTAATTGCTGGCCGGTATTTAGAACTTAACAGACGGTTCTAGCCGGTACTGCTAGCCAATCTCGTCGTTCCACCTATTGCTAACAAATGCGAACAATTTACGACCTACGCCCGCGGGACGCATTAATATTAGTGGTCGCCGTAGAACCGCTGACCAGGCCATTCGGTCGTATTCCGAACGTGGGTGGGATCCAGTGGGGGGTTTTATCGGTGAAGGGGGGTCTTCTATACTATATGATCTACACAGTCCTTATTGTTTTAGGGAGCATAGGGAGATTTCAGAATCATATCACAGGCCCGGACGAATTTCCTTTAATTTTATGAAGCAGGTTTAAAAAATCAATACCAAATATTGTGTTTGCTTTAAGTGCTGCATGGGAACGTGAACGCCCGTGTTGTTTCGCCACTGTCGTATTACTTGACTTATGACAATGGCACTGAAAGTCAGCCCTCTTTAACTATGCTTAACATCAAAACCGAGCAAATTTACTTTATACTATTAAAGTACCCTAGTTTATATACTCTAGAATATCGCCGTGCGATCGTATGTATCATGTTAAACGTGGCATTCTTTTGTATTCGCGATACTTTCATTTGTGTATCATCATCGTACTGTATCTCCATGAGCATTGTTTCTATGAACACCCTATCCAACAAAACAGGTTGCAACAAGCATGGACACTCCAGACATTTAGCCTGAGTAAAACCGCATAATCGACAACAAACGATGGTCCTTCGGCAATGAATTTTTGTATTAACTACCCAAAGTTATTGACGGATATTTTCAATAGAAATGTGTACGGAGGGAAAACTATTTATGAACGCTAACGGTAATATTAGCGTTGCTGTCAGAGCACGGGCGATAGGTAATGTTATCTCCTCTGTCTCTCTTTACGATAAAGAGCTACTCATTGTTACCTAACGCTAACCGAAAGATTTGCCAAAAAGAAAAACAAGGCACCAGTTCATGAAGGCATGCTCAGCCAATCTCTGTTGTCTGCTTCGCTGTCAATTGTACTCACTTGCTATGTCAATGAGTTCTGTTGCCGTTACTACTTGCGTTGAAGGGTTCGACTATGGCACGTAGACAGTAGGAATGAAGTTTTTGTCAGAACGTGCCGCACAGGCTCGCACTTGTATAACTCCCTGAGTGGCCCCAACGGTAGATATGGGCTCGCCATCGACTATGATGCCATGCGACCGTTCGTGACATATGTTGCGCTTCGCATCTCTCCACCTTAAACTTTAAACCTCTGTCACCTTTGAATCTCTCGTGCAGTGAAGAGCGGAGGGCAAAGCTAGCAGGCGGGCTACTTCGGAGTTCTCCTAATGACGTTTGGCTCCACCTGCGAATCACTTTCAGTATGGTCTTCTTGATCATGAGTCGAGACCGTAGACTGCACAATAGTCAAATATTGGTAGTATGTGTTTCGCCAGGCGCTATTGCTCGTTATCTCGTTTTATCGATAAATCGGATTCAAATCTGGGAAAACGAATAATACCGGAATGCAAGGTGAGCAATTGCTGCTACAGATGATTTTAAACTGAACAATTGCAATTCTCTTAACTAATCAAACTGTAATAAATTATAGACAAACTATCAGTGTAGTATATTATAAAAGGAATGTTACTTATCGGGCAAATGTCTCCTGTGTGAGGAAGCCTACTCTGAGGTACATATTTGCATGTGAAGGTGTCAATTCGAACGCAGTGTATCGATGTGTTGCCGAATTATAAACACGATTTGACATATTGAAACAAACGTGGTTGTATCCTAAAGCCATTATAAGGACCGTGAATCTGTTTTCTGAAAAAAGAACGACCTTCGTACCGTGTACGATTTTAATTGGTGGGGCTCACCAACAAATCGTAAGGTCACTCAAATGTTTTTATCCGTACGACGATTGCAGTAGTTATTGTGGACTTTCAAAGCTCGTAAACGTAATATGCTCCAGTCCTGAATCGTCCTCGTGTCGCCTAACAGGTTCGAACCAGGCTACACATCTTCAAGCTACGCTACATTACGTGCAAAAGAGATTCCGTACACTATGTAAAACCTTACAGTTCATGCAAGAAACGGTTTTGCAGGAAACAAAGATTATTATACTAAAATAATTACCTAGAACTTCGAGCAGGATCGCATGCGACGCATATATGCATCGCGTACTCACAAGAACCTATGTATTGATTCGTAATGCGGACGGTGCAGGGTACGAGACATGTTCATATGTGCTACTTTAAGTAGCATTCTACTTAAAGTAGCACATACGTATGCAGGAATCTATTCAAGACTGACTGACCGAAAAAGATTAAGTAATCAAGGCTATGTCTCTCGAAAGATCCTACTCAGGTACAAAAGCTCGAATACGAATTCAGTAGGCCTACCCTGCCACACATCTAGATAAGTATATACAAGAGTATCGCACAGCATATTTCATAGAACATCCCTTGAGTTTCGTCAAAGTTTCGCCATGTTGTAATGCACGTGCATCTCAGCAGGGATTTGATAGATGCGTGCTACGTACTATACTAAAGAATATCAACCAGTGGTCAGTCTTGATTTAGAATAGAATGTCTGTAGAACGCGTGAATTACTGAATGGTTTTACGATAGAACTTCATCGCCACGAGCAATTATTATAAGTTTTTGTAAAATGTATATATATATATATATATATATATATAATTGTATGCATAAAAGGCAACCGGCGCTGCATTAAAAATTACTTGTAGAATCTAAATTCTACATCTATAACAGATGAGCATTTAGCCACTGTTGAACTCCATAACTATCTTTCTTTCTCGTCGCCTCCTCCCCGCGTTTCTATTTGTGACTTTACAACCAGGGTACTGACTGGCTGGCATACAAAGGTTATGAAACCTTCTCTTAATGGAATCGGAAAAAACTCTTCCAAGGTTTCTACGTAGCACGCATTGTATGCCGCATCGCCTGGGGGCGCTTGATCAAATCACGGTACCCTTAGAGAATATGACATGTTTACAAAGATCAGTTCCTCTTGCACTAGACCTGCTCTTTACGTCAGCTGATTGAAGCTATTTTAAAATGACGAATGTTCGTTCAAAGCCAAATATTGTTTAACACATGTGGAAGAAAAAACCGCTAACAATTTTGACCACGTTGCGTGAACATCGGACAAGCTTTGTCTATCTGTTTGTTTGGCTGTTCTCTACTTGCGGACCAGCGGACACGAGGGTCGAAGTTGAAACGTCGAAGAATGAAAATAATGGCGGCGATTCAAGCCTTCGAAAGTTCGAAAGCTCCTATAGATGTCACTTACCGCAAACACCTTTCTTCATAGTAACCATTATTTCATCTCAAATTGATAAGGGCCTTGTGGAACTGTCTGTTAGAGCGAGAATGTCAGAACAGGAGTTGTGGGCGTGCATTACCTTGTGCATAGGGTGCTACTTACAACAAGCAAAATTACGATCAGCTGATTAAACATTCTGTCTGAATCCTAGATTTTCACAGTTACACCACTTGGCACACGCTAGCTTATCGCTATTGGGCCGGCGTAACCTAAGTGGCTCTCTCAGTGAGTCGGTGATTCAAATTTCAGCGTTAGCAAATGGTTTCCATGCCGCTTCACATGGTTGTTGGGGGGTCTTTAAGTAAATCTAGCAAAGGCTACCGCATTGTGACTTTACAGTGAGTGCGAGTCCTTGCTGTAGGCCGAAGGGATGACGCCAGTGACTTGTTTATGTAGTAAAAATAATCTAATCCATAAAAAAGGCCTAAATATTAATGGATAAGCCTACCGCGAAAATAATCGGATTTTGCCCTTTTCCAAGAAAAATATCGAATGCACTGGAATATTTATTCTTAGATATGGCTGTGCATGAACCAAAAAATTCTCTACTTATTCTAGTTTCGCACGCATTACGACGTACGCGCTTATCATGAAGAACGCACCTTGTTGTCCCATCTACCCTGAAAAAAGAGGGTGTTATATTGTGTATGTAACGGTAACGAGGAAATCTGCTTAGTAATAACAACTTCAGCAGGATTGTAAATGGAATATACTAGTTTGGCCTCTCCTTCCGGGTTCGAGTCCATCTTCGGCAGATGTCTCAACGACGTTCGTGGTTCACGATTGTCGGACCACCTATAAGTATAAGTAGTCTATAAGCGAAAACAGATCTATGTATCAAACAATCGGATAAATATCACCAGCACCCATATTGCATATGTGATAAAACGACGAGATAACTTAGTTATTTTCATTTTCAGCTTTATCCATGCTGTGGTCAAATACTAACATAGGTAATTTTACATTTTGACAATCTCAAACGCAATTTCGATTTCAAGATGTGCGCCACAAACTCACTAGCCCGGATCCGTAAAGCTAGCCCTTATAGTGCGCTTTGTTTAGAGTCACATTAGCCGTCTTGCTTTTCCATCTCGTTTGCTTTTTTTTTTAAATAAAACGAATCATGCGCCTCGTTTTGTCACAGTCCATTCATATATTCTGTCACGTGACGTGACAATAAGTACCAGCGCTCAAGGCATTTAGTGAAACACAAAGATATAACTGCTCTTTTTTTCTCTGTAAATGCCTGATCAGTACATGGTTCCTATTCTGGGAATATTCCTGTACTTCTAAAAGTGTCTTTACACTTACTCGAAGCGACACGGGTCTCCAATATTTGCCAAGCCACTTACAATTTCGATACAAAATCGAAATCTTACAAAAGCAGTTTCGCCCTGATAAACGTCAACAAGCCGTAAACCTAGATGTCTAATGTGAAGTAGCTTTATTATCAGCCATACATTATGGTGTAACTGAAGAACAAAAAAATGTAATACATTTTTAATCGTGTAAAAAAGAACAACCTTTGTTATACATGAGATGTATCTCTCAGGAAGAAGTGCAACATTGGTCTATATACCGTATTGCTTTGATAACTTATTCTTGTTGAGGTCACGAACTATGCCTGCCTTCGTTGTTGTGCTCAATGTCTAATTATTGTTTCTTGAAGTGGCTGCATAACACGCACTGTTCTTTTGCCTTTCTCCAGTGTACTCACCATACATTAGAAGAGTTTATGAAAATGTGTTCTCACGTTTGAGAGAGAAAAATTTAATTACTGAGTGTTGATGTTCAGTATATCTGCACCTGTCATTCTTTGATGACAATTAATTAGCTTATAGGCATAGATAGTAATAAGTAGATATCTACTAAATTGTACTTCCTAACGGTCTTTTTTTGATCCGCTAAATAAGCCCGGAGAGCTGCTGTACGACATGTATGCCTAATAAAAGAGGAACGTATCACTAGAACCGAAAACAATTGCAAAAAAAAATTAGGTTTTTCGACTAAGACCTGCGCTTAGAACGATCATCTACTTATTAGAAATGAATATCTGATGGTGCCTAAATGATCGTCGATCACGACGGTGAATCCTAAATATAATTTTCGACAAAATTAAATAGTAATTGTTACGATTTGTCATCGCTAGCGTCATAATTATTCGCAGAATCGCTATTATGAACTGATGTTACTCTATATTAGTAGATAATTTTGCTTCTCTTTCTCATTATGTAAAGTGTGTGATGCTAGTGGCAATAAATCAAATGTTACGTGACTAACACGGGTGTGAATTGCTGGATTATATGTTCACAATTGCAATATTCAAACATGTAAATTTATTTGTTGCACCATTTAAGATTTTCATTTAAGATCATTGCAGTATATTTAAAACCATAATACAAATACAAAATTATGATAAATTATCTTGTGTTTTATTAATTACATTATTAACAAGCAGATACAACCGATTGCTTCTTGGATTGGATCTTACACATTGGAACATCTTCATTTATTTTCTATTTATTTTTGAGAATAGCATCGGTTCACTTTTAGAGGATACAGCCATTATTTTCGTTCAGTAGTGTCTGCTAACTGGTTTACAGCGGCATGTAGGGTCAAGGTTTAACAAGACGCGAGTTGTACAATTTATTTGAATCAAGGTATATCGGTCTAGTAACACTATTACGAGCAGACAACTCTTTGTTTATTATATCTACATAATCTTCATTTTATATTTTATAATCTTAGTGATGTTTTTCGTTTTGACAGAATCTGTACTTCTATAACACGTTTCATTTAAATTCCAACGTGTAACATTGTAATATTCTTAGTGCGTTTTTTGCATGAATTTCTGAAAATGAATGAAAAATCATAGCCAACTGTTCGAAGACTAGAGTCAAGTTCGAAGCGGCAGATTTTTCCTATAAACGAGCAAAAAATGCTCTATTTGGCTTAAGTCTGCATTTAAGTGTATTAGCAAAAAAAACGAAATTCTATATCCTATAGGTATGCGTCTAGACTTAATCTGTCAAATAATAGTACTAATAATAATAACAGTAATTGCGACACGTCACAAAGAGAACATCTGGTTCTGCCCAAACCGAAAAACATTACGAGTAACCCACATTTCATTTGAACGGAATACCGGATACAAGCACCCTGTTCGGCTGGAGCAACAGCAAATTTTCGCGTGGAAAAAGCGAAAACTTTGTTAAATGTTTTTAGCCTTTAACCACATTTAAAGGAGTCAATGTGGCGAACACTTCGAAACAACTCACTTAATATGGAAGACGGTGGATTCCAGATAGTCTGTCGCACATAATGAGATGTTAGCCAAGAAAATTACAATCTGGTTTAGGCATGCTCTTTAATAGTTATTCTAGTTTACTGGCGTGCGAGCATGACTGAAAGACAACCTCGATCTCTTTCCTTAATTCTTCAATACACTGAGTTTTTAAAAAGTACCGGGTACGACTCCATTTCGGGGCATGGTGTATACAAGTTGTGAACACGTTTTAAATTTGATTTTACGGAAAATATTGGTTTTATATTTGTAGACGAGCAACAATAGAAGCAAGTCGTAAGGTTTGGTAGATCTTTATAATGTACATCCATAAAAATAATGGATGTGCAGTTAGAAGAGTTGACTCGGCGATACTGTTATGGCAAATTTTATTTATCGTATATATA